TAGAGACCAAACTTTCTTTTTTTTAAAAGTGGGCAAGTATTTTATTCCACTCATTTGTGTCCAAATAGAAGGAAATGGGCCAAGTTTTTGAAAATTGGGAATGGAGCTGGACCAAAACCGGGCCCCAAAAATCACTAAAGATGACAACGTATTCCCCAAAACTTTAAAAATGAGTCACAAACCTTGCTGATTTTGATGCAAATGATTGAATATATTGTTATTTGTTGTTTCTACAAAACTTACACGGAAATTAGGAAAATATCTTTGATGTTTTAAGCAAAAATAGGCCGATTTTGGGTAAAATAATGGCCCTTATGACAGATTCAGTTTCCAAGAATTTGGAGATTGAAAACTTGGTAGCTACAACCCTCCTATTACAGCACATACCCCTACATCTTCTTTACATGACCCACACTTGTGAGGTGTTTCCCACAGAGGGCCTACCTGTTCTGAAGCACGTAGAGAGTACATTTGAATTAAAGGAAAAATAATCTAAACAATGCCATCTTTGAAATATTTCCTGCTGTAATTGATGCATTTTGAAAACTTGTATCGAATGATGGTTATGAAACATCAATCTATGAGAAATTTTGATGATGTATTGAATAAAGTTGGTAAAAAGAAAAAGGCAGCATTAGATAAAGAAAGACATTTTGGTCTTCATGGATATAAGGCTGCTGCCTTGCTTCACCATTTTGATGATCTAAGTAATACAGTTTCAGATATACCATCAAATAATCAACTGGTACTGGCATGTGAATTGTATCTTGAAGTGGAATATATTGAATGCGCTTTAAGATTTGTAGCATGGTTTACTTTCAAAGTCACAATGCCATTTTCCAACGTGTGTGTTGGAATCACCAAAAACCCTCTTGACCATTCTTCCTGCTCTTTATAATGGGCTGAGATGTTCAAATATAGACATTTTTCCCGATAACGTGTCTTCATAGAATGTAATGTTGAAGTATTCGGTGATTTCAATTCAAAATAGTCAAATTGTTCCCGTTTTTTTTTCCTGAGATTTGGTCTATTTCTGCTCCAAAATACCCCATTGTTTTGGAAATCAATGTTTAGACTCAATATTGTGTACGAAGAAGCACGAATCTCATTATATGAATCATTTTGGTGAAGATTTGTTGATGAATATTGACGTTATTTGGACTACGTTATCATTTTTAGTGATTTTTGGGCCCCAGGCAGGTTTGGGCACGTTTCGGTTTGGCTCTATCCCAATTTTCAAAAAGTTGGCCCATTTCCTTCTATTTAGACACAAATGAGTGAAATAAAACACTTCCCCATATTTTTTTTTTAAATTTGGTCTCCTTGACCCAACCCTACTAACAGCAGAAATTTGTCTAGGATTAATTTTTCTGATGTGTGCAAAGTTTTTTTTTCTTTTCTTACGAACGTCGATACCTTTGCTTAAATGCTAATTCGATCGTCTTTATTCAACTCACTCTATCTTATGATGAACTAAAATACTTCATTAATTAGATTTTACCCAAAATTCCTATCATTATATGGACGCCAGCGCAGTATGTCGCTATTATATTAGACATTAGACAATTAAGTTATTTTAATTACATTAAATCATTAAACAATATCTTTCAATTATAACACCGATACAAATACGCACACAGACTCACACACATACAATTGATTGTTTGAATTATATGAAGCAAGAATTCATTTAAACAATTTGTATTAACTCCAACCGACAAGGTTGGTTCAGTTTTTTATTGTATCTTACTAATTTTTGAATAAGTGGTACATCTGTAAAAAAAATTTGGACATAAACTGTCCAAAGCTCATCTCTTGTTATGTTTTCGTCCGAGTCCTTTCGAATATCTCAATTATTATCATCAGCCAAATATTGTCAGTATCGTGGCCAAAAGTTTTTTTAGTTACATCCTGGCAACTTGGTGGTAGAAAACTCCCTTTTAAATTTAAATATATGTATATCGTATGACTGGCATAACTGTATAACGGCTCGACAACGCCAGAAAACGAATATATTTGTTAAAACATGTTTATGTGAATTCCTGCTTGCTAACTTACACACACACAGACACACACACACACCCACACACACACACACACATATATATATATATATATAAAGATAAAGACATTTTTATGTTTATACATTCTTTTATAGATACAAATATTTAAGTAAATGTTCTGTTTATAATAAACAGTATTCATAACATTTACCGGCCTGAATGTCCGAGAAATTGTCATAGAAAATATGCGTTCTCCAACAGGTATCTAACCTGTATCATATAAGGAACCGTCATATAGCCTGACGTGCCTTAACCGATTGAGCCACGGAGGATCGTTCGTTTAGTATATTAAAGTGCATATAACATAATGTCGATTTTACTGCTTTTAAACTACACCTCAGACGTTTCCGTATAGGATACAGGTTCGATTCCAGTCGGAGGACAAATATTTTCTATGAAAATTTCTCGGGCATTCAGGCCAGTAAATGTTATGAATACTGTTTATTATAAACAGAGCTTTTACTTAAATATTTGTATCTATAAAAGAATGTATAAACATAAAAAATGTCTTAAAATAATTGTCAGACCATTTCATTATATATATATATATATATATATATATATATATATATATATATATATATATATATATATATTTCATTGAATAATATAGGCGTGTCTATTTATTTATTATGAATATGAAAACATCATATTAAATTGCATTTAACATTTAATGCCATTTTATATATCTGCCGGTCAATTCCCTTATATTGTAACACTTGTTTTGTAAAAGAAATCCCATAACTACAACGGATAAATTTAAAAATTCAAAAATGACTACAACAGCGAGTTCACGCATGTTTTTAAAAATCTCTATCACAAGGGAATGCGGATTTTATCGTAGTTACAATAAGTTTGTCTTTATAATTTACCGATGAAAATGAACTTAGAAAAGGTGGAAAGTACTTGGGTTTAAAAAAAACTACGGCGTCTTCTTTGATGAATTTTATCTTGACATCAAGGAACTGATTAGATAACTGGAAAGAAGCAGTGCAAAAAAAAGTATGCAAAATATGTCTATATTATTCAATGAAACCTGTTTGAATGAAGATATGCTGCCTATATATATATATATATACAATTTCGTATGCAGTGTATTTAAACAGCGTGGAAAAAAACAGCTTTTTGTATCTTACAAAGAGGAAATGTCTTTCAAAAAATATTATTTGACGTGCTTCTCCCAACGTTTTTATGCAAATATGAAATTGATAACGCACTGTTCAAGAAGAATTAGCAATAAGTAAATAATGTATCACATGCTTACAAGATATAAGTTAATACATATTAAATATTACCTTGGAAAGGGTAAATTAATGAAGCATCAAAGACAAATATACAATTACTAAGTAAATTATCTACGAGAATATGTGAAAAAAAAGACACGAAATAATTGGAAGCATTATGAATTGATCAGTAGACGAATGATTATTGTTTTGGCCAATTAAAATAGATTCAAGACAAAAATAGACTCAATATTTATATAATCCGCTGTTAAAACGTTGCGAAGGGACATTGTAAGGAGATGATTATTTGTTTATCAAACAGCTTGCCCTTAAGCCTCGTTTGCAAATTCAGTTGTTGCACTTGTGAGAAATTTTATTACTTTACAGCTATCACGATTTTATATCAAAGGATAAAGACATTGAAGATAATAGGTTGAGCTGTTTAATGTTTTATGACATGTAATTCGTTCACTGATTTCGTGTTTTCAATAAGTAAAATGCAAACTAAGATGAACAATTATTGCTTTCAAAGGTTGACCGATTTTCTATTGATGAAATATTTTGACATTTCTGAATATTTTTGATTTGTTATCATGTACAATTGACTCATTACGTATTGCATTACCAGCTCGGTATAAGGATCAAGATATAATTATACCAAACAATCACGCTAGAATAGAAACAGCCAAGTGTCTAATTTTCTCTTCAGTTTTATTGATTCCCACAAAGAGAATATGTAAGATGGTAGTGTCTAGGTCTGTTTCATTATATACGCTATATATCTGCAACTTTAAATATATAAAAAAAAAGTTATATAATATGACTATCAGCTGCTAAGAAAGTTTGTTAACTGTGTCGTGCGCGACAATTTTTCTGCCACATATGGTCCGGTGCTATTTACCTTGAACTCTTTGATAAAATCTGAAGAAGAATTTGCAATATTATTGGTCCTGAACTGGCAGCTCGGCCTCAGCCTCTTTCCCACCGGCGTCAGGTTGCCTTTCTGTGACTTTTCTATAAATACTTTCATGGTAATTGTTCAAATGAGGTTTTCGCTATGGTACCTAGACTTTTGAATTTAAGGACAATATTAGACTGGTGTCGAGATCTCATAAGATGAGTTGGGTAGATGTAACCGTAAATCCTATGCTAACAGTTTGTTTTCTCGCACTTCTCGCTTGTGGAACTCTGTTCCGGCTCCACGCTTTCCATCCAATTTTAATCTACAAAAATTGAATATAATGCCAATCGCTATCAAGTGTCCTCCTGATTACTCTTTCCGCCATTATTAATGTTTCTGTTCCCAATTCTCTCACACCCTGTGATGCCCTTGTGTCTTAATTGCTTTACTGCTTTCTATGATGTGCCACCGTTTAAAAAAATTATTTATGTACTGACCTATTTAAGTTATCGATGTAAAGCGATTTTCTAAGCGCAGCATAGATAGGGCACTGGACGAAACTATGGGGACCCCCAGAGAGGATCGAACTCATGACTCAATCATAATTGTTATAATGAGACAAGGTTGCTAACCATTGCACCACCTCGACGACCAGCTAGGTCGTACGTAGGTATATAGATCGTTAAATTCATTAGTATTTGACTACCTTAATGAATGTTAATCCGCCATTATTCGTTATTACTATAAAGGTTTTTTTTTTATTATAGACTAATATAGATAGATCAATCAATCTATCTCTAGATATATATCCAGATATCTATCTATTTAGATATCTAGCCAGCGAGCTAGCTTTCAGTGTATTTCTATCTATCTATCTATCTATCTATCTATCTATCTATCTATCTAGATAGATAGATAGATAGATAGGCAGGCACAAATAACCTATTATATTTTCACCAGATATCTTGTTGCTTGAATGCTTTATTTCAAACGGAATTTCTTATTCTTATTGATACTCGCAACTTTTTCAAACCTGTTCAAGCTTCTTGGATGTCAAACACCGATATGTAAACTGAAAATCATTTTTATATGGTAGATATCGTACCAGAATTACTAGCTATGACAAAGATGCTGATATTTCTCGTTACAATATAATAAGTTATTTTGACTGTCAGTATATTTTATTGGCTGTCCAGTTGAATGTTTTCGTTGTCATATACGCTCTCCTCATGTTCTCGTCGATTTTGCTTCCGTTGTAGCTCACGTTTACCAAAATAGAACATCGCAATTTTCGCTTGTTTGCATTGGAAGAATTATTAATAATCAATAAAGATTATGTATTTTATGAAACTTTCTTAATCCTACTTTCTATCTTCTTTCTGTTTCCTACTTCAGCTTTCGCCTTTATCTGCTTCTTACTTCTTTATTCTTTTTTTTTAAACAATGATTTCTTCCCTCTTTGTTAGGATCATGTAAATTAGTAATACATTTTTATTATTATGGAAGGATTTATGCAACCAAATATAATCGTTGAAGAATTGTTTAGGAGTGCTAGTGAAATTAAAGCGGATTGTTACTTCCCTATGGTCACAAACATTGACCAATATCTAATAAGTTTAATAGAAATAGCCACCTCTACCAAAAGAGTTGGTTTCGGCCGTATTTCTTTTCAATGTCAGGTCACTGAACATCATCTGCCAAAACTAAATGATTATTAATCCTGATATGGTCGTGAAAGTTTGATAACATTACGTATATTACATTTTTGCGTTAAGTACATACTAAGAGGTATACAGAGATGCCACACACACACACGCACATATATATATATATATATATGGTGTCCCATAGTGATGAGACACATTTTAAATGTAAGAATCTTAGATTACAAAAATGACAGAATACCAAATATATTTATTACATAACTGATATATAAGAGTTCAACATATTGTCTAAAATTTGAATATTACATCCTGAGATGGTCACTACCAAAAAAACAAAAATAATAACATCACTCTTTACTTGAATACTGACACATTTAAACCTTACCATAAGGATCATGAAACCCTTAACTATATTAACGCTGAATCTAACCACCCCTATACTATCTTGAAGCAGATACCAATTACTGTTGGTTCTAGAATTAGTAAACTGTCATCTAATAAGAATATTCTTTTCATAAAAACAAGGAATTGAACGAAAATGCTCTCCAAAAAGCTGGTTTTGTTAATAAACTATCTTACTTAAACCCCATAAATAACACTAATGAGGATAAGTAGGCACAAAAATAGAAAAAGAAATGTAATATGGTTCAACCCTCCCTTCTGTAGGTTATCCAGAATTAATATTGGATAAGTTTTCTTGAAAATTATAAAAAATTTCAAAATAACAACCGTTTAAGTAAGATCTTTAAGAGGAAAAACACTATTAAAATAAGTTATTCATGAACAAATAACAGATATTAAATAACTGACTCCCACAACAAATATATTCTAAATAATTTCAATGGTGTCAACAAGAATCATAGTATGGACATCCCCTGGAATTGTAGAAATAGCAACCTTTGTCTACTCAAGGGAATATGTAGAGAATCTAATGTTATTTAGCAAGCTACCATTTACTCCAAAGAAAATAGATCAAACCACCATATTTTTATTGGAATTTCTGCGGGGGAATGGAAACAACTACTTTATAACCATAGACACTCCTCTCCCAACCCAAGACTAAAACACGAAACTGCTCTCTCCAAAAGTTTTGTGAAATGAATGAGAAAAACCTGAACCCTCAAATTGGTTGCGAATTCAAAGGTTTTGCTCAAACTCCTAGTAAATTTAAGGGTAATTGTAACTTGCGTTCAGAAGAGAAAATTAGAATTATTAAATCTCAAAATCGAAGTCTTTTACTAAATCAAAGGAATGAATTGGCATCCAAATGTCATCATAAAAATAAATTCAAACTAATATAAAATATTTTTTAACCTCGCACTATCTGTTATCACCTAACACTTATACGTTTATTTGTTTTCCTTGTCACTCTTTTTAAATACTACTATTATTACTATTAATATTTCTAAATGCTAATTAGAGAAAGAGGTCCAAATGCCAAAAACTTGTCGGACAATGTCGGCGCAAGTCATGGAGAATATTTTATGATCCGGTAGAAGTTGGTTGCAGGGGCTTTACAGGACAGTCGCTGTGTAGAGCCCTAGCAAAAATAGGTATAGTGAGTACAGCGAGGGCGAGAGCGCTGGAGGACATTACCAATGCAGTTTTAACAGCCTCCAAGTGAATTTCGCTTAAGAGATCAGAACCATGGAAGAACTAAAAAAAAAAAGTGGGAGGAAAAAGGAAAGAAAAAAAAGCAACTCCCAAACATAGGGTTTCAATCTATAAGGGAATATTGCGTAAATATTAATTCAAGGTAGTTAAACTGGGATGGGATGGGTGTTGAGAAGTGTTGGCGCATGTCGGGGTGGGGGTCAAAGGATAGAGTTTTTTTTTCGGTTACCGATTGCCATTTATCTATGCGTATTTGCGTTTTTTATTTTTGTTTTTTTTTATTTCCATTTCCAACCCTGATTCTTATGAATGTAAAGTTAGATCGTAGTAATCATAGTTTGATTATTGTTGAGTAGTAATTCTAGTATTTGCTAGATTCATTTTGAATAATATTTAACAGATAGTAAATATGAATATGTTATTTAATTGAGTAGTTTAGGTTTTCTTTACTTATTTTAGGATGTTTTCCTTACTTATATTAGGTCATCGTATTATCTTAATCGATAGATTACGAAACTGGTAAGGAATGTCAAATAAACAGTTCGAGATAATTTTGTACTGAACGGTTTTGTAAAATTAATGTAAATGGGAGAAAGGATTTATGTGTGCGTGTCCGTGTGTGTGTATGAGTGTATGTGAGAGTACATTTACTACATTTATATGTAGAGGCGTGAACATGCATACATCTTTTCTAATTTCGTTTGATGAAAGAAAGTATAAGGTTAGACTTAAAGATTTTTATATAATAGCAAGAATAATTAATGTATTTTTTAGGAAAAGTAATAGAAGTGGTAAGGTTTAGTTATCGAATTATGGGGTTAGTATTTTAAAAGTAAAAACATTGGATTAAACTATGCAAGAACTAGTCGAGGTTACCTCGTTATAAATTCCGGGGAAATAGCGTGAATTAAAACCGGATGAAGCAAAAAGATAAGACTATCTAGGACGGAAGGGTGAAAAGCCTTTATTTCATTGGCTGATGTTGACTGACGTCCAGCCTACCTCGTTATGAATTCCGGGGAAATAGCTCCAATCAAAACCGGATGAAGAAAAAGACTAGACTATATAGAAAGGAAGGGTGAAAAGCCTTTATTTCATTGGGTGATGTTTACTGGCGTTCAGCTTAACTCGTTATGAATTCCGGGAAAATAGCGCGAATCAAAACCGGATGAAGCATAAAAACAAGTCTATATAGGAGGGAAGGATGAAAAGCCTTTATTTCATTGGATCATGTTGACTGACGTATGTCAATAAGAACGGTCGAACCCCTAGCCATATCTGATTTTTTTTGCAATGTCGAGGTGCGTAGCACAACGCTATCAAGGAGGCGACCTGACCCCCTTTTGGAATCCGATAGGGATTGCTGTTTGTGCCGATATGATGCAAAACCCGAAATCAGTGATGAAGGAAGTGCATCACCCTTGATTAATCTGAAATGTATTATTCAACTTTCCATGAGCAGATATCAATGTACGTGAGAGAATCATGGAAGATTGTAGTTTAAAGACAGTAAAATCGACCTTGCTAACCGAACGCTCCTCTGTGGCTAAATCGGTTCCGTATAGAATACAAGTTCGATTCCTCTCAGAGGACGAATATTTTCTATGAAAATTTCTCGGGCATTCAGGCCGGTAAATGTTGTTTAATACTGTTTACTATAAACAGAGCATTTACTTAAATATTTGTATCTATTAATAGAGTGTATAAACATAAGAATGTCTTAAAATAATTGTCGGACTTTGTCCATTTCATAATATATATATATATATATATATATATATATATATATATATATATATATATATATCCATACTTTATATTTTTTAATATTCTGTTAATTTTTTTGTCTTTTTACATTTAGTATATGTTATATTTACCTTTAGGTATATTTAATACTCAGATTTATTTTAATTCATTTTTAATTGGTAGTTGTTTTTTGTTTAATTATGTTTATTATAATTGATATTTCCTTCCTCAAAGGGCTTCTTTTAATTTAATTTATAAATATATATATATATATATATATATAGTCATCTACAGACAAACTGTTTCTCTGTATCACAGCTCATAAGTGTGGCTAGGCGTCCGGTTGCCTCTAGCTAGGATAGAAACCCGGCTGAATTGGCGTCAGGCGGGATTCTACCATAAATACACAATCTCTGAGAGAACTCGATTCGTTTTACCAAAGAGTCTCGCATTATCAGCCGTAATAGTCACTGTTTATAAACTCACACTTATACATACACACACACACACACACACACACACACATATATATATATATATATATACATAAGGGAGTTTTCCAACATTCTTTCTTATTACTACAAACTGTTTTAGTCTGAATTGTTATCCCTATTTTTTTGTTTCACATCACACAATCGAGGCTCAATTTTAAATGAAAAATCACTGATCTTTTAAAATGAGGAATGGAAGAAAACTTTCGAGTAAAGCATTATCCTTTATCAGTAGAAGATAATAACACTACAAATGAAATGAAAAGAGGAAAGATTGAGGACTTGCAATTATTTAGTACACTGTGACAGAGTCGCCATTAGTAACGAGAAGCAGACTTGTGAAAGAAAATACGACGCCTTATTCTGTCATTTTTGATACATTTTCAGTTATTGCGA